TAGAGCTGGGACTTGAACCTGGAAAGCTGACTCCACAGCCCCTGCTCTTAATCACTCCACCATCCTGCTGCAGTGCTGTAAGAATGCAGGGCATTCGTTTCCTGTGGAACAATGGACGGCAGTCTCGGTGTCTTCAAACAACATAAACAAGTTCTCTCACAGTTCTGGAGGCAGAAACTGAAATCAAGGTGTTGGCAGGGCCATGCTGTCTACAAAGTCAAGTTGTTGGTAACCCAGATATTCCTAGGCTTGTGACAGTATCACTCCAATCTCTGCCCCCATCTTCACATGGCCTTCTTCCTTCTGGGACTCTTTTCCTCTTCTTTATAAGGACACCAATCAATTGGATGAGGGCCCACCCTAATCCAGTAGGACCTCATCTTAACTGGATTACATCTGTAACAACCCTCTCTCCAAATAAGGCCACATTCACAGGTGCCAGGGGTTAGGACTTCAACAAATCTGTTTGGGGGATGCAATTCAACCCCTAACATACTGTACCAAACTGGAGGCACCTAGAAGTGTTGACTCCAATTGGTAGCTCAGTCCTTGAGGAAAATGATGACCCAAGCAAATGTTTCCTTCCGTCCCTGCTCTGCCCCATTTCAGGTGTTAAAGAAAAATTATGGGAGGGCATTGTTTTGGAGTGAGCTCCTGCACTAGGTCCCAACAGACCAAACTAAAGTGGCATCACTCATGCTAAGGGCCATTTAATCAAGCTGAAACTTTAAGAAAGCTGGTGGTCCCCAAATAGACCAGTTTCTCTTGAAAACAAGAGATTCACAGCAACCCATCAGAAAGAGCTCAGTCTACCTGAGTCAGAGTAATAAGGAAGTCCCACTTGCTTTAACCATGACAAGAAAAGTGGTCTGAAGTAAGCTGATGCTAACCAATCAACCTTTACAAAAATACTGTTTCCTTCTTCCAACCTTACAAAACCACTGTTCTGCCATTGCCCAGTGGGAACTCTAATTCTATTTTATAGAATGGAGGCTACTGGATTTATGAATCATGAATAAAAGCCAATGTGATCTGTAAATAATTTTGTCTTTTGACACAAGGAAGACACCACCTCCCCCGTCACCAGCTCTGTTTATGACAATGATGCCAGAGGTTGCCTCTTCACATCCCTTTATGATTCAGTGTGGCCAATACAGATCTTTTACTAAAATTGTGCACTTGGTTCACTCTGGGCCCACACATCTTACTTCTCTGCTGGAGGGCTGGAACACCATCCCCTCAATTCTGGTTCTTTTTTCTTTCTTACCAGTGAGTCAGGGAGCTGAGAGGTTTGGAAGTCAGTGCAAATCCACATACAGGGAATCCCCCAGAGAAAGAACTGGATTTAGATGGGCTGTTTTCCCTCTGAGCTTTGTCCTGTCGGCTTCCCTATCTCCTCAACACCACCTGCCTCCCACACCCACCGACACACACATCTCCAGAATGTAACTTTCCTGGCTGACAGGGAGGCCCATTATTTAGGGCTGTGTTATCCCCTCTGCTCAAAAACAAATGAGTTCACTGAAGTGTACACTGGCATTTATCTGAGACAATGTTTATAAAATTCATGAATATGGAAATGGGCAGCCATCTCCCAGAATCCCTCACACCAAGAAAACTGGCACTGTCTGCTGTAGGTGAAAACCTCTTCCCTTGAAGTCTCAACAACTTCTACCCAGAAGAAAGAAGAGCATATTTTCTCATACACACACACACACACAGTATATACCACCAGTCTGTGGTCTTGGAAGCAAAGTTTAATAATTGAATAGCTCAAGCACTAAACTCTTCCATATCATTAATATACTGTCCTAATATGTCTCATTTGTCAAAGATGGAAAAGTCTTGATATGGCACAAGGGTTTCAATCCCAATAGGAGTATTAATAGTAACAATAAAAATAACACAGCAACATGGTTTCTGTTGAGTGCCTGCCACATGCCAGCAACTGCTTTGATAATTTAAGAATTATATCTGATGTTGATAATAATCCTTATAATGGCTTCCAGGGTAAAAAGGTTTATTCCTGTTTTACATTTGATGAGGAGACTAGGGTTCAGAGAGGGTGCAGAAGTGAGTTACACTTTTGCCAACCAGGCCAGAAGATGAAAGCCGCTTGATTGGGAAATGCTTTTGTATCAAAAGCACAAAATGAAGTGGCTAGTGTTACTTGTTGGAAAAAAGTTAACTCTGGCAAGCACAAATGTAATTCAGTATTTGAGCAATACTTTTAGGAGGGTAAGAGAGTGGTTTATGTGAATTCTCCAAAATGCCATCATGAAAATTTTGATGATGAAAATCACCCAAAATTGCTAAATACCTGTCTTAGCCTGCCCATTCTACAAAGTACCATATGCTGAGTGGCTCATAAACAACAGAAATTTATTTCTCACAGTGGAGGCTGGAAGTCACAGTCCCAGAATGGTCGAGTTCTGTTGAGGGCTCTTCCAGGTTGCTGTCAACTCTTTGCATCCTTAGGTGGTGGCAAGAGGCCTAGAAAGTTCTTTGGAGTCTCTTTTATTGTATTTTATTTTTTGGAGACAGAGTCTCACTCTATCCCCCAGGCTGGAGTGCAGTGGCACGACCTCAGTTCACTGCAACCTCCACCTCTTGGGTTCAAGCAATTCTCAGGCCTCAGCCTCCTAAGTAGCTGGGATTACAGGTGCCCACCACCACACCTGGCTAATATTTGTATTTTTAGTAGAGACAGGGTTTTGCCATGTTGGCCAGGCTGGTCTTGAACTCCTGGCCCCAGGCGATCCACCTGCCTCGGTCTCCCAAAGTGCTGGGATTACAGGCATGAGACACTGCACCCAGCCTCTGGAGTCTCTTTTATAAGGATACTTACTAATCGCATCTATGAAGGGCTTCACTCTCATGACCTAATCACCTCACAAAGGCCCCACCCCTTAAAACCATCACATTGGGCTTAGGATTTCAACATACAAACTTTGGGGAGACATAACTTTCCATCCCTAACATTACTCAAATAGTATCTATATTGTCATTTCTAAATATACACGTATTTAGAAATTTCTAAATAGCCAGTAAACATACAACTGACTTGGCCTTGATATAACTGTTTTCATTTTCTTTTATTTTCATTCTACATGACATACTTTGGGTAATTATAAAATAATTAAAATTAGTTGATAAAGTATGGAATTAGAATAAACTAATTTTCTATTACTATCTAAGCCATGAAATGAATTAGGAGTTGTTGTTTTCAGTGAAACCTCTTCTAGTTTTTAAAGTGCATTGTCCAATTCCTTTTTATTTTGTCAAGATTTTAAAAACTTAAAAAAAAATCTTCAAATTGTTTGTGCCTTGCATTTCTTTAAATCTTGTGTTTAAATATCATTTGCTGGTAGTTGCTAGTCATTTTCTCTATCCCCTGCACCAGACCCTCTCTTTCTCAGGAAAGGATATCCAGAGGACCGGGTCCCAGTTAGTCAAGGAGATGTAAGAGGAAGGCTAGGAGGCTTTCTGGGAAACATTTTCTTTTTCCAAGACAGAAGTGTTCAGAGGGAAAAGGTCCTTTCTCAGTTTGGCTCCCTCTTTGTGTTTTAGATCTGGTCGTGTGAGGCTGCCTGGCTTGGATTGTGAGGGCATCTCTCGACAATGAGGTGACAAGCCTAGGGAAGAAAATCCACAGGTGAGAAGGTGGCAGAATGAAGAGATGGTCCTTCACGACTTCTTTGAGTCATCAGGCCCAGATTTCCTGCCAACTTCCAGTCTTCTTGTTATGTGATCTGACATTATTATTTACTGCAGAGGCCACTGAGTGGCTGCTCTGTTACTTGTGTCTGAAAATTCAGTTCACTAAATTAATCAAAATACAGCACTCTTCTTTTGAAACCTTGCTCCAGAACAAAGTGGAAGGTAATGATGGAGTGCTTTTCAAAGTTCCAGGGAGGTGTCCCTACACAGCAGAGAGCTGTCCAAAGGAATGTAGATGTTGGCTGCGGGGAGATCTGAGCTGCTGGATTCAGTCCTCTCCCTTATTTTATCTTAAACATGCTTGTCATTTTTTCATGCTACACTATGCTGTTCTTTCAGCCAGGGAACATTGCTGAGCACCCGCTCAAATGCTGTATGGAGCGCAGACTGCAGGGTGCGAGGGGCGAAGGTGAGACGTACTAGGTCTGAATTCAAGAAGGGGAACAGCCACAGGCCCCGCAAGGCCGGGGTGGCCTGTTGTAACGTCGTCTTAATCGCTGACCTAAGTGGATCCGCTCCTCTCCCGCCGCCCTCTCCCTGCCTGCAGCACAGAAGGAGGGTGGCTGGCTCTCCCCGGTGGGCGCAGGTGAGTCACGCTTTGCCCTCTCGGGTGGGCGCAGGTGAGCCACGCTTCGCTCTCCCGGGTGGGCGCAGGTGAGCCACGCTTTGCTCTCCCGGGTGGGCGCAGCTGAGCCATTGTTTGTTCTCCCGGGTGGGCGCAGGAAAGCCACGCTTTGCTCTCCTCGTTGAGCCGCGGCTGGCTCTCCGGGTGAGGGCAGGTGAGCCACGCTCTATGGGAATCCTTCGAATCTTCATTCAATTTCCATCGCCTCCTTGTATTTATGTGGCAGGACTTTTAAAAATGAAGCCTATGCACAATGATGTAATAAGCGTTTATCAAACACCACTGGTCGGTGCTGGGGCCCTGGTGGTGGTGACCTGTCCCAGGTGCCACGCCCACGCCCCTCGCGCCGACCGACGACCGCACGCACGCACTCACGCACGCACGCACGCACGCACGCACGCACGCACGAACGTACGTACGACGCGAGCCCGAGGGCGACAGCAGCGCGCAGGCGCACGTAGGTCCCCGCGCTTTTCGGAGGCCGCCGGCGTCCCAGACCCGCCGCAGGTAGGAAGAGGTGACGGGAGGCGGGGCAGGGGCGCTGCTGACTCCTGTGGAGCATCAGGGTTGGGGCGTAGGGGAGAGGCGGGCGTGTACCTCTGGAATGCTGAGGGGTCTCAGGGCGGGGGCTTTGCGGGAGGCCCTGGGAGGCGGGAGCCAGGCAGTGGCTGTGCCCTTTTGCTTCTGTCTTAGGGGAGGGTGGCTGACCCGCTAGCCCAGAACCAGACTCATCTAGGATTAGGAAGCTGGGGCCCAGCGTGGACAGCAGTTTCGGGGCCAGGTCTGCGGATGGCTTTCTTTGGCAGAGCCTGTTCGGGGGCGGGGCCGCTTACCGCAGGCATTTACCCGGCCCAGCGGGGCTCTGGGCGCCCACAACGCGGGTCAGTCAGCTCCCCTGTGACCCAGGCAAGCTCTTAATCTCTGTGATGAGAAAGAAGGGCTCATACCTTTCAAGGGTCATTGTGAGGAATCGGAAGAAGCAGTATTTTATAGAGTATTTTCTAACTGTTGAGTCTTCTGTCGAGTGCTTTGCAGAAGTAAAATATCTTGTTAGCTCCCCTGTGACCCAGGCAAGCTCTTAATCTCTGTGATGAGAAAGAAGGGCTCATACCTTTCAAGGGTCCTTGTGAGGAATCGGAAGAAGCAGTATTTTATAGAGTATTTTCTAACTGCTGAGTCTTCTGTCTAGTGCTTTGCAGAAGTAAAATATCTTGTCAGCTCAGTGATGTGGCTGCGCTCCTTTTATAGGTAACAGAAAGACATTAAGAGGTTTTCCTGCAGTCACTGCTGACAGAGCCAGGATCTGAACGCAGGCAGCCTGGCTCCAGACCTTGTGCGCTTAACTTCTGTTTTGCATCAAGAATAGAGTCCTATGAAAGGCCTGTACAGTGCTTCGTACCGAGTAGGCACTCCGTCAGTATTTTATAGCTGTTATTCCAAAGGACACTGTATTCTAGGTACTAAGACAATGTGAATGGAATGGAAAACAATTCCTCCCTGCAGAAGCCAACTATCTAATTAGGAAGACAGTTAATCACGTTATTAAAATCAGAACATTGGCAAAATAAAGAAGATTGAAATGCAGTTCATATGACAGTGCTAATTAATCATACTTTTTAGATCTAGGAAAGGCCATAAAGGTTAAATTGTCTTGGAAATGGTAAACAAGACAATGGTTGTGTCACTGATCAGTGATGGCCACTTTTTCGTTATCCGTATTTGTCATTTAAATGATTGAATTGAAAGGAAGAAGTAAGACTTGGAAGATGAATATTGAAGGAAAGGTGAAGAAAGGAGAAGGGGTTTATTATGAGAACAGTGACTAGAACTCTGAGGTATGGTAGAAATTTCAGGATAACAGATGATAAAGTGGAATGAAGCCATGGAGAGGAAGAGAATGATAACACTAATTGTAAAAGTTTGTGTCGGCCGGGCGCGGTGGCTCACACCTGTAATCCCAGCACTTTGGGAGGCGAGGCGGGCGGATCACGAGGTCAGGAGATCGAGACCATCCTGGCTAACATGGTGAAACCCCGTCTCTACTAAAAATACAAAAAAATTAGCCGGGCGTGGTGGTGGCAGGCGCCTGTAGTCGGAAGGCTGAGGCAGGAGAATGGCGTGAACCTGGAAGGCGGAGCTTGCAGTGAGCCGAGATCGAGCCACTGCACTCCAGCCTGGGAGACAGAGCGAGACTCTTTCTCAAAAAAGAAAAAAAAAAAGTTCGTGTCAAGTGTTTTCTCAGTCACCTTTCTTTCAGTTTGTCATTTCCAGTATTGTATAAATGAGTTTAAAATCAAAATGGTATAGTGAAAAAAAGGATGAACTGCTTGGCAGGAGAGGTCAGATCTAGTTTTGACTCTAGCTTATTTAGCTTTACAGTTTTAAATAAGTTACAGTGTCTTTAAAGCTCTGGATCTTAAGTTTTCTTTTTTTTTAAAACAAAAATTTATGAACACCTACTTACAATATGACAAATTCTTTGTAAGGCATTATGGGAGATAAAAAACTATTAAACATGGCTGTTGCACTAAAAGAACCTGTTGTTTATTAAGCTGTACTTACAAGTAACTTGAAAGGCAAAATTTCAAATACTTGAGCCTTAAGTAGGGTTTCTTGGTTTTCATTTAATTGAAATACTGTTAGGAAACAAAAAAAAATTCCATAAATTTTTCTTGTGGATATGTAAGTAAATTCTATATATCTAGCAATGTGATACATCCACAGTTCTGTTTAAATGTAACTTAATGTGAAGAAGCTTATGCGAATAACTTGACAGAAGAAATCTAAAGTAAAAGCATTTTACTAGTAGGCTAGCTTGTTCTCTTATTTATTGTAATAGAGATATTCTAGGGCATTCTGTTTAGGGTGATGAACTTATTCATGAATAAGTTATTAAAGCCATTTAAATATGCCATAGTTTAAATTTGTGATCCATGCTGTTCAATCTGTGACCTAGGATAGCAGCATCAAGGAGCATTGTGTACATGGAGAAGTGCACAGTACCTGGATTGAAACTGCTCGTGTTCCATTTCTGGTACCATTCATAACTGACTGTGTGATCTCAAGTAAGTTCTTTAACTCTCTCAGCCTCAGTTTCTACGTTTGTGTGATAAGGATAATGATAGTTTTCAGATTATTTTCATATTCATTATTTGATTTGATTGTCCCAATGGTTCCTCTCACTTTGCAGATAAGAAAACTGAAGAACCACCTGGGCGCGGTGGCTCACGCCTGTAATCCCAGCACTTTGGGAGGCCAAGGCGGGTGGATTACCTGAGGTCAGGAGTTCGAGACCAGCCTAACTAATATGACAAAACCCCATCTCTACTAAAAATATAAAAATTAGCCAGGCATGGTGGCAGATGTCTGTAATCCCAGCTACTCGGGAAGCTGGGGCAGGAGAATCACTTGAACCTGGGAAGTGGAGGTTGCAGTGAGCTGAGATAACGCCACTGCCCTCCAGCAGCCTGGGTGACAGAGTGAGACTCTGTCTCAAAAAAAAAAAAAAAAAAGAAAACTAAAGAACCGTCAGTGATAGTAAAAAGTTCGCTTAAGCTCATTCACCTAGTTTCTTTTACAGCTCAGACTTAAACCTCTTGTTCATTTTGTTTTGCTTTATGTATCTATATTTCTTTTTCTGATTAATTTTAAATCCTTTTCATTTAAACCTTATGAATGCTTTCCCTACAGATAAAATTATGTAAAACAATTTACATAAAAAAATTATGTAAAACTCATAAATTATTATTTAATCAAGTCTTTAATATTGAAGACTTCGTATTGATATGTCTTGAATACTTACAATCTATAGTTAACTAGATATTTCTCTTATAACCTGTCCTTATAAATCTATATTATAAATACAAAGTCCAGTGTCCCTTCCTTCAGATTAGCAGATATTTAAAAACTATATTTAAAGTATTATGTCTTTGTTTTCTTCATACTGATTTTCATTTTTATTGTTTGTTATAGGACCTCTAAAATGCAGACCTCCAGCTCTAGATCTGTGCACCTGAGTGAATGGCAGAAGAATTACTTCGCAATTACATCTGGCATATGTACAGGACGGAAGGCAGACGCATACCGTGCACAGATACTACGCATTCAGTATGCATGGGCAAACTCTGAGATTTCCCAGGTCTGTGCTACCAAACTGTTCAAAAAATATGCAGAGAAATATTCTGCAATTATTGATTCTGACAATGTTGAATCTGGCTTGAATAATTATGCAGAAAACATTTTAACTTTGGCAGGATCTCAACAAACAGATAGTGACAAGTGGCAGTCTGGATTGTCAATAAATAATGTTTTCAAAATGAGTAGTGTACAGAAGATGATGCAAGCTGGCAAAAAATTCAAAGACTCTCTGTTGGAACCTGCTCATGCATCAGTGGTAATCCATAAGGAGGCCACTGTCTTTGATCTTCCTAAATTTAGTGTTTGTGGTAGTTCTCAAGAGAGTGACCCATTACCTAACTCAGCTCATGATCAAGATAGGACCCAGGACTTCCCAGAGAACAATCCTTTGAAACTCCTTCAGAGTGCCCAGCCACCTATGGTGACTAACACTGCTAAGACTTGTCCTACATTTTCAGCACCTGTAGGTGACTCAGCCACTGCAAAATTCCATGTCACACCGTTGTTTGGAAATGTCAAAAAGGAAAATCACAGCTCTCACAAAGAAAACATAGGACTAAATATGTTCTTATCTAATCAGTCTTGTTTTCCTGCTGCCTGTGAGAATCCACAAAGGAAGTCTTTTTATGATTCTGGCACCATTGATGCACTTTCCAACCCAATACTAAATAAGGCTTGTAGTAAAACAGAAGATAATGGCCCAAAGGAGGATAGCAGCCTGCCTACATTTAAAACGGCAAAAGAACAATTATGGGTAGATCAGCAAAAAAAATACCACCAACCTCAGCGTGCATCAGGGTCTTCATATGGTGGTGTAAAAAAGTCTCTAGGAGCTAGTAGATCCCGAGGAATACTTGGAAAGTTTGTTCCTCCTATACCCAAGCAAGATGGGGGAGAGCAGAATGGAGGAACGCAGTATAAGCCTTATGGGGCAGGGCCTACAGAACCAGCACATCCAGTCGATGAGCGTCTGAAGAACTTGGAGCCAAAGATGATTGAACTTATTATGAATGAGATTATGGATCATGGACCTCCAGTAAATTGGGAAGATATTGCAGGAGTAGAATTTGCTAAAGCCACCATAAAGGAAATAGTTGTGTGGCCCATGTTGAGGCCAGACATCTTTACTGGTTTAAGGGGTCCCCCTAAAGGAATTTTGCTCTTTGGTCCTCCTGGGACTGGTAAAACTCTAATTGGCAAGTGCATTGCTAGTCAGTCTGGGGCAACATTCTTTAGCATCTCTGCTTCATCCTTAACTTCTAAATGGGTAGGTGAGGGGGAGAAAATGGTCCGTGCATTGTTTGCTGTTGCAAGGTGTCAGCAACCGGCTGTGATATTTATTGATGAAATTGATTCCTTGTTATCTCAAAGGGGAGATGGTGAGCATGAATCTTCTAGAAGGATAAAAACAGAATTTTTAGTTCAGTTAGATGGAGCAACGACAACTTCTGAAGATCGTATCCTAGTGGTGGGAGCAACAAATCGGCCACAAGAAATTGATGAGGCTGCCCGGAGAAGATTGGTGAAAAGGCTTTATATTCCCCTCCCAGAAGCTTCAGCCAGGAAACAAATAGTAATTAATCTAATGTCCAAAGAGCAGTGTTGCCTCAGTGAAGAAGAAATCGAACAGGTTGTACAGCAGTCTGATGGGTTCTCAGGAGCAGACATGACACAGCTTTGCAGAGAGGCTTCTCTTGGTCCTATTCGCAGTTTACAAACTGCTGACATTGCTACCATAACACCGGATCAAGTTCGACCAATAGCTTATATTGATTTTGAAAATGCTTTTAGGACTGTGCGACCTAGTGTTTCTCCAAAAGATTTGGAGCTTTATGAAAACTGGAACAAAACTTTTGGTTGTGGAAAGTAAATGGGATTCTTGGAATCAAAAGAAGGCATCTCTGTAGTACAGTCTTTTATTTTTTAGCATAGAAAGTTGGGGATGTGTCAATTGTGTTTTTTAGAATATATTCTGAATTCTGTACTTCAAATAATAATAGCTCAGATTTTACAACTGATTGACATAGTGTATGGTTAATGTAAGTTTTGCTTTCCAGTGATTACCTGATATGTAAGCCTATCTGAACAAAGTGAGAATGAACTTTTGTTTCTAGGAAGTCTTTCTCTTGAAGCTATATAACATGAAAAGTGAGCTCAAATTTTTTTTAGTTGAAGATTACATATAAAGTTGTATCTGATTAATATCCATCTTTTATTGAAGAAAGTGCCTTCTGATGGCCACATAATTCTTAATGTCGGCTAGTATAATGGTTTACATTTGGACAAAGTATTGCTTAATGTTATTTGAGTAGATTTAAGATCTCACTAAAAGCTAAAGTGCCAATTTTTACTTTCTTCAGCCAATTTGTTACCTCTTTTATGGTTGTTAATTTTTATTGGGACTAACATTTTCAGAAATAATATGGTGTGATCTAGTATTAGAGATATGTTCACAGAACTGAAAGCTTAGTTAAGAATGTTGGTTACTTTCAGGGAGGCGTGTGATATTTAACATTGATATTTTATTTGACACTACAGCCTGTAATACTACTGTCTTTCAAAAATAAGTGTTTTCAGATTTTTATAACAGACCCATTTTGTTTTATGAAACATGTTTATTACCATGAAGCATGTTCATTACAGAAATATGAGAAAATAGAGATAAATAAAAAATAAAAATCACTGTTATCCTACCACTTTGCAGGACACACTATTAATATTTAAGCATAGATTTTTCCAGATGTTTTGTTTTATATAGCAGTAGGATTGTATAATGTATTCTCTCTTGTAGCCTGCTCTTTAAAGCATATCTTTACTTTCCATGTTGACATAAATGTCCTTTTATGATTGTCTAGGATTCCATGGATGGATGGACTATAATTGAGTCATCTGGTAGAGTGCATATAGGACAGGACACTAGGTTGTTTATCTTTTGTTTATTGTAAAGGAACTATGTGGGATGCATTTGGTGATCCTTTTTAAAGAAATGTATAAATTTCTTGAGTAATTCTTGGATTAAAGAATATGCACTTTTTAATGCTTTTGGCTTGCATTCTAAATTGTCCTCTTGAAAAAGTAGTTCCTGTGTAAAACTCCATCTGCACTGAGTCAGAGCTGTGGCAGCATTGGGGAGGATGCAGTTTTGGTATTTGTTGGCATTCTTTTTGCATTTATTCAAAAAAACTGAAGGTACTAAAGGTAGAGCAATGAACAACACAAATATCCTTGGTCTCATGGAGGTTACATTTAAGTTCTAATGTTTTCTCTTGTGAACAGTGCAATTTGAAATGACAAATTGAAACACTTAGTTGTTGAATTTAGACAGTTTGTATATGTATAGTTTAAATTTTTATCCTTGGTTTGCCTTCTGTTTTTATGTTAAAAGATTGTTGTTGCAATTTTTAGTTTTTCCCTTTGTAATATGTGATTGTCTTTCATTAGAATTCGTTTTTTGTTTTGTTTTGGTTATTTTGAGACAGAGTCTCGCTGTGTTGCCTAGGCTGGAGTGCAGTGGTGTGATCTTGGCTCACTGCAACCTCTGTCTCCTGGGTTCCAGTGATTCTTGTGCCTCAGTCTCCCTTGTAGCTGAGACCACAGGTGTGCACCACCACGCCCAGCTAATTTTTGTATTTTTAATAGAAATGGGGTTTCACCATGTTGCCGAGGCTGCTCTCAAACTCCTGGCCTCAAACGATCCACCCACCTCAGCCTCCCGAAGTGCTGGGATTACAGGCATGAGCCACCATGCCTGGCCTTTATTATTAGAATTTGAATGTTAAACTTCTTGTCTTCAGTTCTTAGTTATATCTTTTAACATCCTAAAACATTTCACAATATTCATTACTGTCTTTATCTCTTTCTATTTATATAAACAGCACTATAACCTTGGGTTCTTTGGTATTGATGTCAAGGAATTCTCTAGTTTTTCTTTCCTGCAGATCACTCCCACCTTCTTGGGTCTTAAAATTACTATAGCTATTTAGATTTGTCAGCATTTGCCCTCTAGCTGTTAATGTTTTATTTAGCTCTGTAATTTGGTCTTAATATTTATTACCAGTTTTTTTCAGTTACAGCTTCTGCCAGCCCTGACTTTAAGCCCCCTTGACCACCAACCACAGGGCCACTTCTTTCTATGGAGTTTAGAAATTGTGACAAGGAGAGAAAGTCTAGTTGGTTTAGCTCATCTTGGATTAGCAGAGCCCATGTCTCTGGTTAGCTCAAGAAATGGCCCTTCCTGAATTAAGGTCTACTCTGTTAAATAAGAATCTTAACCTGAAAGGAATAGTCAGGATATTTTAAAGCTGGAAAGAAAATTTGAGCTGGGAAGTCAACTGTTGTTTCTATGGTATACCACAGAGAAGAATTTGTCTCAACACTTTGCGATTTTGAGTGTTTCTGAAGCAGCTGGGTAGGAAGCTTACTGAAACTAGGATTTCTTACTCTCGCCATATGTGATTGTCTTCATTGATTGTAATAATCTTGGATTAAATTCTTTTGAGTGTGGCACTGCCCTGTCTTTAGCCATTGCTTCAGAAACATGAATGCTAGCCTGATATTTAATGTCTTTAAAAATTACATTCCCTTAGTAGAAATACACATTTTAACAAACTTGTCACTTGGTTATGGTATTAATGCTTAACAATTTTGATATGAATATGGTAATTCTAATTTATAATTTCAGGCCTTCTTAAATCTTTTTATTATACATCTAATAATATATGATCCTTTTGATATGTATTCATTCTGTGGTAAATTTCTAATTTTTCTGAAATTTTAACTCATTTTCTCAATTTTAAAACATTTCTTAGGTCTGCCTTTCATATTGACAAGCTGATCTTGATGGAATCATAGTCTAAAGATCGTGGACTGTGGAGCCAAATAGACCTGTTGAATTCTGGCTCTGTTATTTACTGGTGACTGTTGGTTACTTAATTATTCAATCTCAATTCTAAAGTGCGAATAGTTTATATCTGTCTTGTTGGAGAGTGAGGATTAAATAGTAAAAGACAGATTTAAAAGGCCTGGTTCATGTTTTATGATTGTGCATCTTCTTTGAATCTGCCTTGATTTTGCTCTTGTTGCTGTGAAGGATCTTTTCAACTATTTTGTGTGGTTGTCCTAGCTCATTCTGCTTAGTGTTTGTGGTATTTGCATCATATTATTAGAGATCATAGATCATATGCCATCTATCTTTAGTTTTGTGGAAAAATTCTAATTCTAAAGAAATATCTCTTAGTTATGTTTCTCCTTTTCTACACTTTAGAATTTTTTTAAAGGTCTGTCCCAGATTATTATTTTTCTCTGCTCATGCTTGTATGTTATTTATTGGTCTCCATTGTTATTTCCCAGTGGTTTTTTTTTTTTTTTTTTTTTTTTTAAGGGACACTTTACAGTCCACCTTTAGGGATCTGAATAAAAGAAAGGATTCTATCAAGGTCCATGGCAAAAGGACAGGTTGGATAAAGATAGCATCTTTTAACTTCCTTCTTATATTCCTTGTTCTTGACCTCAGTTCGGGAGTTGGTGGTGAGGGAGCACATTTTAAACAGTTTAAGCAGGTGGGACCATCTTGAAGGTTTGGCCCAGCAGCCTGGGTGAATGGAGGGAGTCTTGGGAGAATAGATAAGATGCAGTCACCACTTTTAACTCTTGCCCTTAAAAAATACTTTTACAACACAGTTTATAATGGAAAGAGCATTAAAATGGACGTTAGAAAACTGCCAGTGATTCTAACCTTAGACAATTTGTACGAACTCCCTAAGATCTGTTTTTTTTAGTGATAAAAGGAAATTGTACTGGACAATCCTTAATGACACATGCAGATTTCTGTTATCACTTACCAAAAATTTATGAATTTGAGAATTGCTTCTAGGGTATCAGGTGCTGGGTACTGGGAGGCACAAAACAAAGTATAGTCAGGTAAGGGCTAACTTTATTACTAATTTGGCTCATTATAAAAGCAATGGGAAAACATCAAGACAGGGCTTTATTAAGGAGTTAAGTCAGCATAATGGACCACTTAATAAACCACTTAAGAAAAGGGAAAAAGGAAGTCCACATAAGGTGGCATTTTATAAAGGCAACATGCTCTGGTTAAGGACACTTGGGCCATTGGTGTTTTGTGACAGCTGGGCTCAGGCATCTCAACAAGCAGTGGTGTGCCTGCTGACCAGCAGGGCCTGCCATGGCCAGTGAAGCCCAGCTATTAGAGCTCTCTCAATCCATTTCTGCTCAGAAATGTAGAGATGGCAGGGAAAACGTAGCTAAGTCCCAGGTTCCTTGGATATGGCCAGGGCAAGCACTCCCATACTACAACAACCTGTGCAGTCAGTGAGTCCAGAGCAGAGGCCTTGTCTCCTCCTTTGCTCACCTTCAACCACTGTCCTTGACTGTCAGGCCCCGGTTCTCATCCCCAGGTGTGATGAAGCCATGCGGTCCCAGAGAGGGAGCCATCCACTTGGTAGTCCCATGCTTTAGTGTCAGAGTTGCACCTTACCTTTGTATCCAAGAAATGCATGCAGCTCAACTTTCCCTTAAAAGGCTTCTAGGAAAAAACTACCCCAGCATTTTTTTTCCCCTAGAAGAATATATTAGCTTAATAAGAAAAGGTATAGTATCAAACTTTTCATTTAAAATAGTGGCCTAAGCCACAAATTTACCTTTCCTGCCCATATGTGCAAAATTTTCATTGAAATGAAAAAATACACACTAAGAATAAATCCAGTGTGATGTTGGAAAAAAGAAGGTTACCATTTTCAAATATGACAGGTGTTTCTGGAGGTCACAAGGCAAATGGTATTGGGTTGTTGGAATCGCTGAGCTAAATAATGGCTGTGAAAACGCCAGCTGAGATTGGTTATTTCAGAAGTGACTGGGCTGTACCCCTAGCTTAAGCAGCAAAATAGGCTGTGGGCCAGTGGTCTGGTATCTGATAGGATTGCCAAGACAAGCCTTGCAGAGCTCATGCCCCACTGTTCTTATGGAGCCACTGGGAAGTGGAGTTCCCTAAATCAGGGGGAGTCATTTACAGTCGCCTGGCTTTTGTGGGCCCTGCAGCCAGAGAAGTGAGTCAGGGTGGCAGGTACTTGGTTGCCACGTTAGACAGAAGCACAAGTATTTGATGAAGCAGTGGAACTTCTTGATGTAACTAACTCCTGTCTCGGTAACTTTTTACCTACCTCCACATTTTTTTAAGGGTCGACCCCCATTTCCTACAGTTTCTCTATATCCTTGCCACTGACACATGCAAGCTTACGCCAAGACATAAAGGAGGTCATGCTGATGCCACAGTTAACACATCTCTATCCACAGCTGGGCAATATGAAAGACAATTGCTAAGGAAGCTTTCCCCTGTCAGGATACTGATCACTTTAAAGTATAACTTAACATTACCTCCCCTTGTAAAAATCTTCCAATAGATTCCCATCTAAATGAAAATAAAATCCAAATTCCTTCCTAGAGCCAAATATTATTTTTCTTCACTCTCCTTACTTTGCTTCATCCCACTGGATCTTAAGGTGCAACAAACATGTTTCTCATATAGGAAGTGTGGTAGGCAGAATTCTGAAGATGTTCGTTCCTCCAAGAGACCCATCCTCTGCCTATTCAGTCAAATCTAGGCACTGCTGGGAAGGGACTTTGCAGAGGTAATGCGGTTACAGACCTTCAGATAGGGAGGTTATCTTGAATTATTTGTGTGGGGCCAATCTAATTTCGTAAGTCCTTAAAAGCAGAGAATGTTCTCGGACTGGTTAGAGAAGAGGAGGGCTGAAGAGGCAGAAGAAAGATGTGGCAGAGAGGACGTCCAAGATTCCAAGCATGAAAAGGATTTTCTCTGAAGTTGCAGCTCCGTGAAGCAGGAGCCTATGTGCAAGGGCTGGAGAGAAGTCTCTAGGAGCTGACAGGAGTCTCCAGACAATAGCCAACAAAAACCAGAGGTGTCAGTCCTACAACTGCATAGAAGGGAATTCTGCCAGCAACCTAAATGAGCCAGGAAGCCTCACCCAGTTGAGAATGCAGACCGGCTGACACCTTGATTTCAGTCTTTACAGGACTCAGAGCAGAGAAACTGGTAGAGACTCCCAGACTTCTGATGTACAGAACTGTGGGGTCATAGTGGTGTGGTTCTAAGCTCTAAGTTTATGATAGTTTGTTGTAGCAGCAATGTGGGGTAGGGAACATTACACTGTCTGTTCTTTGAGTGTGGAAAGCTCTTACAGCTGCTTCTTCAAGTTAGTAAAATATAATTTCTCCAGCAAGGCCTTCTTTGACCACTGTGAGATAGCCTCCACTAACTTGCAACACATGCATGCCATCACTATCATATTATCCTACATTTTTTATTGGTAAGTGTTACTAACTGAAAATACTTATGCTTACTGTCTTTGTCTCTAATCCTATATCACACCCATTAGAAAGTTCTTTACAGCTAGGGACTGTGTACTTCACAACCATGCAAGATTCATGAGACTTTTGAAAAACCCAACATCATGAGAGGCACCCAGAGAAGCAGCAGAGTGATTCCCATCAAAGAAAACCATTGGTTCAGGAGACTAGAGCTTTAGAAAGTCTTGATCCCAGAAGACATGATAGCCACCAAATTAAAATAGGCAGCTATTGTATTAGTATATTGTTGCATAACAATATCACCACAAACTTAGTGACTTTAAACGACACACATTAATGACCTTGTAGTTTCTGTGGGTCAGGCTTAGCTGGGTCCTCTGCTTCAGGGGCCCACAGGGCTGCAATGAAGGTGTTGGTCAGGGCCGTGGTCTCATCTGAGGCTTGTTGGGGAAGGATCCACTTCTCAGCTCAAGTGGTGGTTGGGCAACATTCAGTTCCTTACAGATGGCTGGACAGAGGGCCTCAGTTCTTGCCATCTGTTGGCTGAAGGTTGCCCTCAGTTGCTTGCCATGTAGGCATTCCAACATGGCTGCTTGCTTCCTCAAGGCTGGCAGGGGAGAGAGCCTTTCCAGCAGCATAGATGTTATTATCTTCTGTAATGTAATCACACAGGCAACACTTTGTCACCTTTGCTGTATTCTGTAGGGTGGGAGCAAGACACAGGTCCTTCCCACTCTTAGGGAAGGGTATTACAAATGACAACTACCAGGAAGTAGGGATCATGGAGCCTGCTTCAGAATCTATCACACCTATGAAATAAAGGCCCAGGAAACAGAAGAATTCTAATGGTTAAAATAAAAATCTTAGTGGAAGAACTGAATTTTTTAAAATGGAAAGGGCTGAAACAAGATAGTTAAAAGGAAGAATAAGCTGTGGAATTATTTTACAATCTTCAGCAGACAGAGCTAGAGTGAGGAGTTAAGTAGTATGTCAGATTCCAGGAAATTAATATCCATATAATGGGGAATCTATAGAAGTAAAAAAGAGAGAGGTAGATGATAATTACATTATTAAGAGCAGAGCAGATAATTCTTCTGAGTGAAATACATAGTTCATATCAAAAACACCTACTGAGTGTGTGGTGTTATGATATATATATATATAGGTTTTTCATCCAGGATTCTTTGGCTTATAACTCCCACAGCCCTTATATATTCTTATTATAACGGATGTGTTAGGCCTCAGGTAGACCTCTGGTGTTCTGCCCTCCTTCCACTCTGATGTTCTCCCACCTTTCTGATTGTGGGTCTTAAGACTCTCATAATACCTCAAGAGGACAGGGTTCAGAGAGCTTCCCAATAGCTGAACATGTGGAGGTTCCTGGAGAGTGGTGTGCCCAGGGAGGGCGTGGAAGCTCCAAGCCCCTTCCCCCATACTTCCCCCTAGCGTTTCTTCATCTGTATTTTTTCCAGTATAGAGCAATAAACTGGTGAACCAAGTGTTTTCCTGAGTTGTGTGAGCTGAAAGAAGGGGTCATGGGAACCTTAACTTGAAGCTGGTTGATCAGAAGTTCTGAAGGCCCAGACTTGGCGGCTGGTGTGGAGGGGCAGTCTTGGGGACTGACCCCCTCAGCCTGTGGGACCTGACACCATTTCTAGGTAAATAGTGTTGGAATTGAATTAGAGGACATGCGGCTGGTGTCTACTGATGGGTGTATGGGAAAAAAACCCACATTTGATCACAGAAGTCTTCTGTGTTGACAATTGTTATGTGGGAGTAGAGGAAAATGCAGTTAGAGGAAGCTTTCTCTAAACAGTGTTAAGCAAGAATTGGGGATGGACTGAGACATACCTTGGTAAAGTCTCTGGGGAAAGAGAGCAAGAGGGCACAACCAAATGGGCAATCTGTAAAAGACTAAGAATCAGAGTGTCAACTAAAGTGCCAAATAACATTAAATGCTGGAAAGTAATGGGACTGAGCACAGTGGCTCACACCTGTAATCCCAACATTTTGGGAGGCCGAGGCAAGAGGATCACTAAAGGCCAGGAGTTTGAGACCAGCCTGGGCAACATAGTGAGACCCCCATCTCTCCAAAAAAAAAAAAAAATTAACTGAGTATGGTGGCATATGCCTGTAATCCCAGTGACTCAGGAAGCTGAGGTAAGAGAATCACTTGAGCCTAGGAGTTCAAGGCTGCAGTGAGTCATGATTGCACCACTGCATTCCAGCTTGGGTGACAGAGTGAGACCCTGTCTCTAAAAAGAAAATAATAATAAAACAGTGCTCACAAAGTTCTGGGGGCAAATAATTTTGAGATTAGAATTGTAGATCTAAGATGTCAAATAGGTGACTACAGTAAATTCTTGTTTAGATACAGTGGATCCCCAAATTGTCATATATTCTTTCTGGGGAAGAGGAAAAGGCCCCTGAAGGATGCCTTAGGCAAATGCAAAATGAATCAGGATAAGGAAGTCAGCAAAAGGAAAGCTATAGTACATGCCAAGCCACCATAAGCAAAGGAACCAGCAAACCTTGTGACTAAATAATTTTTGACAATGTAGTTGTACAGTTTAATACAACTGTTAAAATGATTTTCTGAAATAAAAACATAACATTACAAAAATCCAAAACTAAAATTCCAGAAGATTTCAACAAACGGGGATAAAAGATAAGAAGAATAAAGCAGCTGCTCATATTTTATTGTGTTACGTTTTGTTTGAGGGAGTTTGGCATATATTCAGGTAAGTCTTGATGTTGAGAGAAAGTATGTAGGTTCAGACTTAGGACTGGGGCATTGAGACTGATAGGGCCCGTGGAAGGCACAAGGTGTTTGAAGTGAAGCCTTGTGGGGTGGGTTGGGGTGGGTCAGGCTCTGGCCACATAACAGCAAGGGCAGAAGGCAGTCAGAAGACCATGGGGTGAGGACATTGCAGGGAACCCTACTCAAGCTATATGCTTTATCCACTAATATTTTTAAAATTTATTTTTTTTATTTTTAAAGTATTTTTATATGGTATAATTCATCAATTTGCGTGTCATTCTTGCTCAGAGGCCATGCTAATCTCTGTATCATTCCAATTTTAGTATATGTACTGCCAAAGTGGGCACATCCACTAATCTTTTAGAACAGTGAAAAAACAAACAGTAAGATCACTTTTTTTCCTAAAAGGATGACATTGTCAGGAGGCTCGGATGTTACTCTTCATAGAGGACAACAATAACGATTTAGAAGTCAGGATTTTAGAGTAATATATCTATGGAGCGCAGGAGTAGTTTAGTGTAATTTATCAGCTACAAGGGTTCTGAGTATTTAGAAAACAGGAATAATATGGTGCAAAAACAAAGTAAATCCAGACTCAGAAATTCAGCCACTGCTCCCATTACTGAGCCCTGTCATAAAGTTGGAACATATGATAATAACTAAATAAAAAAAAGGCAGCTATCATTTTGCCATGAAAGTGACTTCAGTAGACATTTGTCTCCTTAAAGAGAGGATACTCTCTCCTGTTTTCAGCAAACTACTGCTGAAATCCTTTGGACTGAATTAAACTAGACAGACCTGGGACTGTCACAGGTATTGTCAAGACAATTACTGGAACTCCAAGAAAATGATAATTAACACATTACCTCTGAATAATGAGAACCACATATGAAATTTTAAACCTTCTGGTAGCCACATTAAAATCGTAAAAGGAACCAGGTGAAATTAATATCCTATTTCAACATGTAATCAATATAAGAATTGTTTATGAGATACTTTATATAGAAATTATTCTTCTTCGTATTGAGTCTTTGAAATCCGGTATATATTTTGCATTTAAAGCACATCTCAGTTCCACCTCATCATAGTTCAAGTGCTCAGTCACATAAGACCAGAGGCCACCACGTTGGACAGGGCAGATCTAGACCAGTATAGCGTCTGTGACCATGTCTGTAATTAAGGCTGTTTCCCTTTCAACTCTGTGCTGTACATCTGCAGGCAGCCTTTTGAACTGAAAATAATTTAATTTTTATACCTTTAAGGTAAAAGTTGAGAATCTGGTGCTTCACAGGAACAGACTGGCTTCTGCTCTTTAAGAGCCTCACGTCCTGTTACCCCAACATTGCCACAGATTTGGATACTGATCTTTAAAAACGCTCAGCCTTCATTGTTAGGCATTTTGCTGCAGTCCAGGCTCATTCTGTTATCTAAACTCATGTGATGCAAACTATACCATAATATTATTTTCAGAGGAAAAGTTTAAAAAGTAATTTATTAATAGTTACAAATAATTTAGAAGTACTACATATTGAAGAGCAAAAGAACATAAGGCTATCTAAAAATCGAAAACTTGGAATAGCGCTATTATTGATACATGTCTTTATTGAAAAATGTCCCTAAAGTTGTTGATACTGAAATTTGAAACTCACAAAATAATGTGTTTCTAACATTGCCTTTTAATTTACTGTTTATGTTATACCTGTTTAATACCTGAGGTAGATAGATGACTTTGTATTAATAAATGATTATCAGCTGTTTTACATGCTCACTTTCATTTAAATAAAAAATTAGTATTCAATCAGTATTGCTAAAACATCTAATTAAACATGTAACATGTGAATATGCATATATTTAAATTTGTGTGTATCTCACAAATTAAGATCAAAAAACATATATATGTGTATTTGTTTATGTCTAAAATGTAAGTGTAACTGTTAGTAAAATAGAAATAGGACATAGATCAGAAATGGGATATGAAACTTCCAAATCATAAGAGAAAAAAAAAAAACAAAGGAAACCCAATTTAGTGAAATCGAGAGAAAAATGTTTAAAGGTGAAGAGAAACTAATAAAACCTTAATAAAGAGAAAATTTTAAATAAGATGTCAGGAAAAAGAGCAAACATTTCAGGATTCACAACAAATGCAAAAACTTCCTTGATTAATAAGCAAAGCCGCCTAGATTAGGTAAAAAGGTAAAGTTTAATTACATTATCTTTATAAAACAAAATAGAAATATTGAAAATAAAGGAATAGAAATATAAACAGAAATATAAAGGAATAGAAATATAAACAGGAAAAATAAAGGAATAGAAATATAAACAGGAAAGGAATAGAAATATTAATAGCCCTGATCAGAAACAGGGCTATTAATACCAGAAAAAGGAGGAATCAAGGTAAAAAGCAATAAACTGGATAAAGAAAAAGATTTTATACTGTTAAGAAGTTTTTGCCTTTACATCCATCATAAACATTTACACATTGAGCTAAAAGCATCCAAACATAAATTTAAAGAAGATACCAGTCACAAACATTTACACATTGAGCTAAAAGTATAAAAATGTGAATTTAAAATTTAAAAATTATTAAAATACTAGCATAACATTTGGAAATAGTGACATTACCCAGTGTTGGCAAATATTTGGAGAGTAGGATCCTGGCATCCACTGTTGTGGAGTGTGGATAAACTTAGCCTTTTTGGAAAGGAATCTGGTAATATCTGCCAAAAGTGATTCCACTTCTAGGAATCTATACTACATAAATAAGTTCACTGAGACACTTTAATATGTAAAAACTAGATGGCTTAAATATCCATCAATGGAAGATAGCTGAATCTGTTCTATGGTCTGTGCAGTGGGTTTTAAAAATCAAGTCAATGTATGTGCACTGGTAGGGAAAGAACTCCAAGTTCTATAATTGAATGAAAAAAGCAAGCTGCGCATAGTTCATGTACTTACATATGTAAGTAAAGGAATGCGAAAAAGATTCAGAAGGGCATACGATGACAGTTAAGAGTATTTACCTCTCTGGAGGTAGGTGGTGTGGGAGGGAGGAAGTTTTCCATATTTGATTTCACTCACACACACACACTATGGTGGTTTTGTTTACAATGACAATCTACTCTTTTATAATCTAAAAAACTCAATGAAATATTATTTTTAAACTATTGAACATAGCTTTCTTAAATAATTAAACTATTTTTTTTTCAACCGGCACCATTAGGTTTGTTTGGAGAGGCAAGTGGTAAGAATTGAAGATCCCTATTATGAATTCCTCTCAGAAAACATCATGTATTGCATTTAGGAAATGGGGCTGAAAAGACAATGACCAAACAGAAAATGAATCTTTAAAAAACAAGTTGAAAGTCTCCATGTTTTACACACATACAAGATTGTATTTGGAAGTAAACCCCTCAGAATCAGAATCCTTAGCAAATAATCATTCATCCAACTCCAAATTGAGCAAACCTATTGAAATTGCTTTAAAAAGTAGTTGTGAGGCAAATACAGATTTCATCTGCATGTTAAGAAACCAAACGTTCAGAAACCCATTTTACAAAGGAATCTTTGAGCAAGAAATGTATATGCATAACATTACATCTGTGACCACAGAAGTGGATAAATTCTTATTTTATCGGAGTTTGGGATGCAGAGAATGTTGAGCTGTCACATCTGGAAGAAATAGCGTGACTATATACATGCTTCTGACCTGGTGGAACAATGCAACTCCCAAGTGCATGATAAGCATCTGGAGGCATAATTTCACAAAATACAGAAAATTGCTGTAAAACCAGGGCATGATTGCAATTTAAGGGAAATGGTGCAGATAAATCTATTTTAATGGATAAGCTTAGTAGATGCAAAATAAATATGTCAGCACTTCATTATTTATTCCTTTCAACTAGTCTAAATTAGAGTGGAAAATGCACATAATATCCACTTTAGAATTGTACACATAGAAATGAAAAAAATATTTTTCCTAAGCCATTTTAGTACTTTGGAAAAACTTAATCCTAGTCGAGCCTTAATTTCAAAGCCTCTCTCTGAGTCTCTTTTTCAATTCCACTGCATTTATTGACCACCTTTTTGTGTCAGACATTGCCTAAGCAGTCAAGTTGCTCGCCACTGAATGGAGTTCACAAATTCCTTTTTGCTCAAGTGAGTCTCATTTGACATGGTAGAGTTGGTTATTTCATTCAACATAAAATAAGTTCGGGAGACTGAACAGAGAGATCCCCACCTGGGATCACTGCCGGACAACAGAGCAGTGATGTCAGTGATGATGAGCCCAGTCTGAGTACCCTGCCAAGGCTGTGATACCTTCTAACCTGGCAAGTTTTGGTTTATTGGCAGTGGTACTGAGGCATGTTTGTCTTTCTTGCAGCCTGTGCAATAAACTTTATTACTTAGGATCTCTTAAAATTATACCCAAATTTAGGAATCAAGTCATAGATATCTAGTTTCAGAAATGAGGAATCCAATGTAGTATTTCCTTTATTTAATTAAATTGCTAATTTATGTAAACATAGTAGGTACTATATAATGTTCTAGAGAAAATATGACATTTTTTTTTTTTAAAGCAAGGACAAATCTTCCCTGGTAACATGATAAATGATGTTATCAGCTTAAGATTAGTTACTAACTTTAAACGGGAGAAAATAAATGAACAAAGATAACTTTGCATAAGAAACAAAAACACATTTTCTGAGGTAACCATAAAATTTTGTACAGGCCCAGGGTCAAAAAATAAAACACCCCAAACTGGCTCTAAGAAGTACTAGACCTTAATCTCTGTGTTCCTTGTCTCTTCTTCGTGTTCCCTGTGTTTTAATTAATTAATTAATTAATTAATTTTTATTTTTTTGAGACAAAGTCTTGCTCTGTCGCTCAGGCTGGAGTGCAATGGCGTGATCTTGGCTCACTGCAACCTTCACCTCCCAGGTTCAAGCGATTCTCCTGCCTCAGCCTCCCAAGTAGCTGGGACTACAGATGCCCACCACCATGCCCAGCTAATTTTTGTATTTTTAGTAGAGACAGGGTTTTGCCAAGTTGGCCAGACTTGTCTCGAACTCCTGACCTCAGGTGATTCACCTGCCTCGACCTCCCAAAGTGCTGGGATTACAGCCTGTGTTATATTTTTCATAAAGATAATGTTCTCTACTTTTTACTATAAAGTCAATAAAATACTTCATTGAATAAATAATAAAGCAAATAATAAATAACAAGTAAATAATAACAATATGAATTAAATAAATAATAAAGTACTTTATTGGCTTTTTAAAATAAACAACTACACATGGAGACTACAGTGCAAAGTTTCCTTATGGATCTCTGCAGTATGCTTCCACCA